ATTTTTCGATTTCACTCATTTCAATGAATTAACGTTGCATTTCTCGATTTCACTTTGTGATTAACATTCTACTCAATAAGCAACACAAACATAATATTATTGGGATAGAAAATGCAGCTATTGATCAATAAAACTTACGAATGTGCAAATAACTAACATTGATATCGCTTAATGCAGATGTGCATGTTTTGTGAATACTAAAGCTCCACATGAAGGGTTCTGTGCACACCACGATAATGGCGTTGTTATGTCAGCTGAATTACAGGTTTATAGACAAATATCTGTGTCAGCTTTCAACAAAAAACAGTTTTATTTTGCCCAACCGTCACATGTTATATTGGCTTTTATAAGTTGATGACATAAGTTTAATGAATAAATGACATCGGGTGTTTGTACATTTTACAGCCTCCATCAAAATATCAAAATATCAATCCAAAATTCAAACGAATTAAACTTTACTTATAAACTTTAAAACTAAAACATGTCGGCTACATTTGCATATTTGGAAAGTGTGATTGAGGAATGTGGCGAAACTTCAAGATTTCAACGGATTATGTTTTCCATTATGATGTACAGTAAAGTTGCTGCAACATGGACTATGATGATGATGACATTTGTTGTAGCAATTCCTGATTTCTAGTGTCGATATAGTAATAATAATAATAAATTTATAATAATAATAATACACAACATTTGATATAGCGCTCTATTTAGCTAACCTAAGCCACTCTAAAGCATTTTACAGTACATGGATTTACAATTAATACAATCAATACAATTTGCATATACATTAATCAATACAATGCTTGAAGAATTCGCAAGAGCTGCCTTATGCTTAGCAGGCGCTAACTACTAGTCCTATGCCACCTGGTTAATATCTCCCTATGTGTGTATATCCACCCCAGATCATATTATACTCCACCTGGGTTGTTATAGAGTTGATATACAAACTATTCAAACCCAATCAATAGATATGTACAATTTATTATATAGATGGACAGTGTGATCCTCCAGAAAATGTAACCGTTCGGAATTACCAAAAGTGTAAGTTTTCCGAAAATAGGAATACTGTTGTTTTTGAGGTAGGTTTCATTTTCAGAAGTTAAACTTTAATTATTAGAGAATAGATGGTCATTCTTTAAAGCAGGAATATTTAGATTTCCGTTTTAATGTCGTATTAGGTATTTTGGTACTTGTACACGCTTCAGCATGCATCCTTGTTTCTTTTGAAGTAATGAAACTTGTTTGGTTTAGGACTAACCAGATGTTACGACTAATCTGTGTGTGCGCCGTCATCAGTATTAAAGCGAAGCGAATGAGAGAGCCGTCTTGAGTAGTATATCCCTCCAAAACATCGCGTGCGGGATTTGCCATTGACCCATCATGGATGTTTGTTCGAGAAGGACGTGAAACTTGTGCACAAAATCTGTACATTATGTACATTATCCGCATGTGAAAAGCAGATTTTGCACCCATTTACAAGTTTCACTAAAGATCAGTGGAGAATATACGTTATACACTAAGTTTAAAACTTGTATGACAATAAGTTTTCAGGTAATAATTTAGAAAAGCAAAATTCTACTTTAAGCAATGGTGACCTTAACCTAAAACTGACCGTCCCTTCTATCCAAATGCTTATTCACAATCACTGGAGTACCCAATACACAAAGTTTGAACTTTGTATGGTAAATACAAGTTTAGTTATTTTCAGGACAAACGCGAGGAAGCAAAAGTCTAACTTTTCGCAACGGTGACTCGACCTATGGCAGACCACATCAAAATAATTAGGAATTCCTGCATCCACTAATTCAACCAACCTCGATATCCGCTTTACGCTCACTTTCGCTCTGTGCACCTCTGGAATATGTCATGGCAAAATTGAAGGCTTAGTGTGCAGCACCCTATGGATGAGTCGAGAAGACTAGTTTGGTCCTTTGGTGTATATCAAAAGAATCTCGCGGTCGCGTGACGGTAAACAATTACACGCTTTGAAGTCGGGCGTCGCTCCTTTGTAATCTTCAAAGGACACGTATCAGTCTAGTGACTGGTCAGGTTTTTTTTACATGACACGAATTAAATAGCTAGCCGCGTGCCTTCATTTTTTGCTATGACATATTTCAGGTATGCAGAGAGCGAAAGCGTGCGTAACACCTGGATATCGTAATCACCCTACTCATCAAGTTTTAACTTTATATTTTCTTTTGTTCTCAAGTTATCATCACAAGTAGAATTTCATTTTTTGCACTGGTGACCTTGTCCTCCGGCGGACCCAACCATAATCGAAAGGCCCATTTGCAATCACATCGGGAGCCGAAGACAAGACCTGCAGACAACCCTAAGCAAGCAGAAATCTATTTTTAGCAATGGAGTTCGTCGCATCTACTAAAGCAAAGCACACACATACACTTTGTATGATCATTTGTTCTGCAGTTATCATTTGTATTGGCAGACTTGACCTCTTGGGCGCCGTATCCAAAATAAATAGGATTATATGCATTTACACGAGCAATCCAAACAAAATGTTTGAACGTTGTTATGATAATTCGTTCACAAGTAATCATCCGGACAAGCCCAACCTAGCACCATTTTATCGTTTCTTTGACAGGTGTTACAACCGAGAAATAGGAGAGGGAAACACTGCCTTCTGACAGGCTTACTTTTCTAGCGATGCGGTATAACACCGACATTCGCTCACTACATGTAGTTCAGCAACGTCGAACGTGGTCAGTAGCTGAATGTTGCACAAATGCACGCAATGTGATACATGGAAAAAAGCATTTTCAATTCAATGAACATTAAGAATTTGACACCAGTTTGTGATAGATGTAGACTGCTTACAGACAACCAAGGTTTCTATAAATGCTGGTTGATATTGAAAAGTTTTATGATCTTTATCATTATCTCATTAGAAATATTCCATTTCCTTTTATGACACCAGTATCAATATCTATAAGTATCCTTGTCATTGCCTGAGTCGCGGGTTGAGGACGTGACATAGCTTAGCTCTCACAAAGATTTACATGGCGGGTTTCTCCGATTAAGCAGAATACACCTTCATTACCGGAACATGTCTGGCCGTATTCCCCTTGTACTTATGAAGGTTTTTATGTTAATCTTTCCATATTCATATGTTAAAAAATAGTTAACAACGTCATAAGCAAATTACAAAATCAAAACATGTTCCATTGAAATTGCTTTTTATTTTCTTTGCTACCTTTTTAATATACCTGTAGGTTTTATCCAAGAATACTTGAATTCGTGATTTAGAGGATGTTATCTTTATATTGAAAGCAGTTATCTCTAGAGGGACCGCAGAACCAAATAATTTTCCATAGATGATAATGTTAACGTTTACCAATGTCCTGGTTAAATGGGGTTGTCCACACTGGTTCACCTGTCGTCATTTTGGAGAATGTCATAGCACACACCTGTAAAAAAAAACATTTAAAATTCTACTAACTTGAACTCTTTTTATATGGGGGCCGCCATTTTGTATTTAATTCGGCACCAAAAATTGACCAAATTACACACTAAATAAAATCCCCCAGACAAAAACAGACTTGGGATTTATTTATTTTTTTATACATTTTACATCTTTTATATTGCTCAACCCACGCATACAGCTTTAGAAATTTCTGCCACCTAAATATCTAACCAGCGGGCCCCGAGGAATTAACTTTCCTATCAAATCTTCTGCCCAAAAGGGAAAAACTTTCCGTATCAAATGACTAAAAAATCGTCCTTAAACGTTATCATTGTAAATTGACAGTAGCGACCACACCCATATTGTTGACATATCAGTATTCAATTCGAATTGCGTTTGTTTCATGAACGTGACTAGCATATTTCTTTCACATAATCAAGCAAATAATACGCTAACATTGTATTGAAATCTACAAGTCCTCTTAAAATGTACAGTCAGCGGTTAACATTTTAGGAACATTTTAGGATATCTTTATACATTACATGTTATCGTAGGTTATACAATTCGCTTTGCTGATATGACAACTGTTGTCTTTTTCTCTTCATAGAGAATAATAAAATCGACATTGAGTTATGTTGTCATTTAAAATTAGTGAATAAAATATATGTTATATCAAGCCAAAACGTATTTTTGTTTATAACAAAAGTGATTTGTTTTATATTCCGCTGTGTTGTCGCATTTTCTCCATTTCATCTACCATTTAAACACTAGACTGACGGGTATTGCCAAAATAAACTTACAAACTTACAATAAATTATATATTCCACTTTCTTTACACTAATCTGACCTCTTGATGCCTTAATAACGTAAATTCATTTGAAGACGAGCTAGTTTCAGTGTAAGAATTTTAATTGGTATTCAGATTGTCATGGGTCTGTATTACATATGTCTCCTTTTTATGGTCTACAGCTCAAATACTATACCATTAAAACCGTAATACCCGAGCTAGAAATGTTTATTAAGAATTACGTAAATCGTATAAAGATATGTATCACAACCAGTAAGTGTTTATGTTTAACGTTTCGGTCACTGGAACGATACATATACTGTCACCTTCATTAGAAAAGTGACCAGCGAAGTTTACACGTATGTACACAAGGGTTTTAAATACATACACTTTACTGGTTAATTGTGTGATGAATGTGATAGGGTACTATAAAGGTGGAAGAAAATAAATTAATGCAAAGAGTGTTGAAATCAGATTTCAAATGTAAATGCCAGGTAATAGAACAGCGTTGGTACATGCCAGGTGGTAAACCCTTTTCAATTATAAAAAAATGACGTGACATCGCATCTAGAATAGCATATTTGTTTTGTGGTAAAACAAAGCCTGATCCAGATTTCGCACAATAAACATTTTGCTTTGCCACAATATCTTATATTCCCGAATCGTTACCCGTTTACCTTGAAGACAGCACACAACAGAAAAGAAGAAAAATATTCGTGCGTCTTTTAGCCGGCCTCAAAGAATCGCTACTTAATTCAACCGAACACCACTAAACTCAAGGTATAGAAGATGTCGTCAACAAGTGCGTATCTGGAAGGTCTAATTGAGGAATGTGGCGGATTTTCACGATTTCAATGGATTATGTTTTCGTTGATGATGTATAATAAAGTCGCCATCACCTGGAATATGATGATAATGACATTTGATGGAGCAATTCCTGACTGGCAGTGTGGATTTACAAACTATTCAAACCCTGGTACGACCCCATCCATAGATATGAACGACCTATATTATACAGAAGGGCAGTGTTATCCTCCACAAAATGTTACCGTTCAGAATTGCCAGGAGTACAAATTTTCTGATAGTATGAATACTATTGTGAGTGAGGTAAGAAATTATGATATGCCAATATCATCAGCTTTTAGGTCATTTTGTCGACTGTTGCCTGTCTTGGAAAGACCACATTGATAACATATCGAAGAAAATTTCGAAAAAGATAGGTGTTCTGAAAAGGTTACGACCTTTCATGTCTAATGATGTTCTCAGTAAAGGATATCAAAGTATAGTTTTTCCACATTTTATCTATTGTTCTGTAGTCTGGAGTGAGGCTAGTAACAAATCATATATTCATAAAATCTCCGAACTTCAGAAAAGAGCAGCTAGAGTTATGTTAAATATGAGAGACGTTTTTACCCCTTCCATTTTGCTTTTTAAACAGTTAAATTGGCTGCCAATAGAAGATTATTTTATTTTTAGGAAAGCAGTTCTGGCTTACAAAATTGTACATAGGGATACTCCAAGTGTTTTAAGTAATATGTTTACCTATGTTAAGGATATCAGTTTTAGAAATACAAGGTCATCAGTTTCCAACAAGATTTATATTCCCACTGCTAGAACTAATTATATTAAACGTTCATTTGTGTACACATGTTCTGTTTTATTGAATGGATTGAATGAAAATATTAGAAATGCGTGTAGTGTTGCTGCTTTTAAACGCAAATACCTACAGGATTTCTTCCCAAAACTTCAGTTTGGTACTTACTTTATGATATAACAATAAATAAGTATTGTATCTGTGTTTAATATACATGTATTGTAATCTGCAAATGTCTTTCATGTAGTTTATGTGTATTTTTCTGTGATATCTGTAAATATATTGATGCAGGGCCATATTGTAAATTAGACATGTCTAAATATGTATCCCTGGATAAACAAAAGATATTATTATTACTATTAATTATCTTCTTTAGTTTTATTAATCATAAGAAATGAGGAGTGTGTTTACCGTAAAATAAATTGTCACATTTAACCCAACCAGGTGTGTTCATACAAATAATTTGCTAAAAATGAAGCGAAAAATTTGACAGGGAAGTAACAATATACAACTTCTTTAAAAGTGTTTGTTCTGCCCCATATTTGTGACGGAATTTGGAAACTTGTACGAATTATGTTTTATTTTGGAAATTGTTAAATGTACTTGTGTGTATTATATGTGTAATTATACATGAACGGTTTTTTACCGTTTTCGTTTGTTCTTTTATACTCATAGACAAGGACGGTATTGAATGAATTGAATTATCATGTTTTATAAGAAATAAAAATAAAAATGCGATATATTAGATATTTGTTTTAATAAGTAGAAAAATAAAAGTAGCATACGTTTGTTTCAGTGTCCAAATGATTATTATTACAAATATGATATATTTTTCATTATTTTGCAATTCACGTCAGCTGCCATGTTTCAATATTCCACACTTTGTATGGTTATGATTGGTCGAAATTTAAATACGGTGCGAGTTCGAAATAGGTATGCAAATGTAATATGTGATGTAAAATTTGCAGCCACATGGGGAATTTCGGTGATTTACGTACCCCCTCCCACTATACAATTACAACTTGACATTTTTTTTCTAATTGCAGTGGACGCTGATATGCGACAAAGACTGGGTAGCCTCTTCTATCACGACAATTCAGATGGCCACAATACTGGTCAGTTGTATAGCCTCTGGCCACCTCGCAGACCTTATTGGTCGGAAACCGACTTACTTTCTGTCTTTGGCAGTAATAACTGTTCTAAACATTGCAGCTGGATTTTCAACATCATGGAAAATGTTTGCAGTATTTCGTGTTCTGTTGATCTTTTGTCTCGGTGCGGCCATGACTGTTTTCTATAATTACCTGATAGAGTTCATTCCAGCTAAAAGAAGATCAGTTGCCATAGCATTTCCAGTATGGTCAATCTGGACCTGTGCGCTGGCGTTCGTGGCTATGTGGCTACATGATTGGAGGTACTTGCAATTCTCTACAGCTGTACTTATCCTACCGTGTGTATTTATGTGGTGGTAAGTGTTCATCAATCGAGTCTATATTTCTTTCCTAGCTCATCTCATATTCCGTCTTTGCGTATTGCAGAGTTATCTTCAATTGAGAGCAGGTATTGATTGTTACGTCATTTGTTTGTGAGAGTAACGTCATCAATTTTTGAGAAAACGACGTAATTTTCTCACACAAACCAATGACGTAACAATCAATACCTGATCTCAAGAGAAGATAACTCTTCAATACGCAAAGACGGAATAGGGTTTTTAATCAAATCGTGAAATATAACTATCATTTTTATTATGATTCTTTTTCTTTCTGTAATTCTCTTTTTTCTGTTATAGTCTTTTAGTCTCCTAACCTTTTGATTTGTAGTAGATGTTTTATAATCTTTCACTTATGTTGTAAATCATTTTCCAAATGATAAAAAAAAATCCAATATGGCCGCCATGACATAATATGGAGAAATCTTACAATGGCGATAACGCAAAAACCTATTGATTATACAGCATTCATGCCAATATATAATCTGTAGGTTTTGTTTTTGGAATATCTCTCTTTTTTATTTTATTTGTAAAGGTTTTTCTGTAATGTTCACCGTTTAAGTCATACGAAATTTAAATTTGAATATTTGCTTTGGTGTCTTAAAACACCGACATCAAGCTACAATATACAACTTCTTTATCTGAATTTCAAGCTTTTTACTTGATCCCGAATCCAAGATATGATATGATGTGATAAAAATGGCGATGAAACGCTACTATTTATAGCACTATAGATGTCTTAATATAGTCGCGTAGCTACAGTTTCACTACAATCACTCTGTTGATTAACAGGGTTCTTCCAGAGAGTTTCCGCTATCTCGTCATCCATGACCGACTAGATGAAGCAAAGGAAGTCGTCTGCAAAATAGCGCGAATCAATGGTAAACCGGAACCGGATATGAGTAAGATGAGTTACCTTGTGAAAGAAGACTTTAAAGTCGACGCAGATCGGAAATACACGATTTTGGACGTAGCCAAGTCCAAACAGCTAAGGAAGTATACGTGTCTGCTAAGCATTGTATGGTATGTCAATTATGCAACGTCATATAATTTGTATTAGAAGTAATGTTTTTCGGCACATTTAAAGTGAAGTTAATATCATAAAAGACTCACACAATTAAGTCTTTTATTATATGTTATTACTGAGCTTTTGAGCTATTAGGTTTAGCATTGGAAGTTCAACACTAGTAACTACTGTCTATATTCATAAATACACACCTGACAAAGGCTTCAAAAGCATTTTTGGCGGTTTAATGGCAGTTAAGAGCTCTATTGCAGCTGCTTTTGACAACCGAAAGTTTACAAACCAAACAGGTGAAATGGGACTTTTGACCCCATATCAATCCGCCATCACATAATAAAATCTACTAAAATTATACATTTTTCTAAATTTAAATATCTATAGATTTAATTACATGTAAAATATTATACATTTGAATTACTCAAGTGCACTGTCCTTAAACGGATTTGTTTTAGGTAGGGATTACAATCGTATGAAACACTTGTTGATTGACTGATTAAGTTGTGTGAGTCCATAATGATAAACGGATATGAACTCCAGTAAAACCTTAATATAGATCGTTATATACATATACCTCCATATAATGCCGCCACTATATTTGCCCCTCGGTTATTGTTATATACTAAAATACCGATATGAATATATTTGCCACACCATTTAAGGCAAATATTTCAATATTTTTTGATTTTTAAATTATATCAACTTGCAGTATAAAAAGTTAACAGATTAAACAGTTCTGACGGTAATATTACCCGAGATTAATTTTGAAAAAAAAGACATTTTTGTGCATCAGAAATATTGTTCATATCTAATTAATTATGTATTATTTTTAAATTAATTTAATATCCGATTAACCGACCATTGCATATTAACTGTGCTACTTAAGGTACTGTTTATGACAACATGTTGACTTTTTTGTATTTGTCCCGTTAGGATGTCCTGTGGGTATGGCTACTATGCCATTTCCTTTGGTGTTCAGAGTCTTTCCGGGAGCTTATACCTCAACATGTTTCTGTTAAGTGTAGTAGAAATTCCTGCACAGGCCTCCTCATACTACCTCACCAATAGGTACGTTTTTCATTCATGTTAACGTTGTATATCCTTAAGTATTTGTACCGTTAAACACGCACACTAACACGAAGTGTGAATAAAGAAGACTTACATGCTACAAAATACCTGACAATAAATAACCAGGTAGCATGCACGTTCTTTGTGTTTAGTCAACCGTGATGAGATATATTAAAGGTGGGGTCAACGCCTATGGAGATTTAACATTAGCGTCGGCCCCCGCTTTGAATTTAAAAACAAAATAACTACAAAAAGGTTTGGGTATAGGAAGCTTAAATAAGGAACCGTTAGTTTCAGAATTCATTTTATGATAAATGGGACCTTATTGACTTACACCTGTGTGGGTGTTTAAGGTGCGATAACACAATTCTTCCTAGAGCATTTAATTAAAATAATTACCATAAAATTATATCATCATCGTGTGCAACATATTCCAACTTTCATTTTGATACCGAATATTACACTATTTCAAGAAAGAATTGCTAATGAGAAAATTTCCATTTTCGACACGTTAATTTGCATAGTTCTAAAACCAGTCTATATTTCATAATTGCTTAAAAGTTGTCTACCAACAATATCTTTCAACATCAGGAATTTCAAGAAAATTGACAACCGGTAAATTTGTCATATAACACTTTTGATTTAAAAAAAGGAAATACATAACTTTCTTTCCATTTTTCCTTTAACTTGTGTTTCTTCATGACCAAAAGTCCTTTGGTCTTGATATTTGGCGAGTAGGTTGTTCATGTGAATTGATTTAAATGTTGTAAACGGTGATGACCTTGATCTTCGCTCAAGGTCACAAAAACAAAATGTGCTGAAAACATGTTTTGTATGTGGAGTCAGACAAGGATACCTTTCCTTGCTTAATTTGTTTACGATATAAAATAATGTAATATTCCTCCATATTTTGTTTAATGAATGGGCAATAGGCCAAATAAAATAATAAATAGAGCAGTAAGCCAAAGACTAACTAATACCCCTACTCATATATAACCCAGAATGTAAGCTAAAGGCTAGATAAGGCAAATCATTACAATATATAGTTCACCCCACCCCCCTCCCAGTAAAATATTTAAGAATATATGTCACTGACATACTTCCTGTACTCCCTCCCCATGCCAAAACATACTTCCATACCAAATCTTGTTAGCCCCGATGAACCAATTTTGCTTAAGTTGTCCTAGTAGTTAAGGAAGAGTTGTCAAGATTTTGAACAAAGGGCCATAACTCCTTAAAAAGGGACGAAATGAAACAAGTACGACATCAGAGGGTAATTACCATATCTGTAAACATTCATTGAAATTAAGTATTCCGTTTTCTTTTTGTTTTTCATTTCGTAATATGCATCAATCGACCCTTCCAAATTGTTCATATGAGTGCGTTTTATCACACAGCGGGGAAATCGGCTATTAAATTGCTGTTTAAAACATCAATTGGTTAATTTGGGGCTTGCATTGAGGTGCAGAGTTTTTTCTAGTGCGCATGCCTAGATGCCCTACCATAGCAACACAGATGCGTTGCTCTGCAGATATAACCAACATATGGTGTTTTAGGACATGTATGGGTGGATTGGTAGAGTGGTTAACACTACGGCCTTTCACGCAGGCGGCTGGGGTTCGATCCCCGAAGTCGTCGTTAGCATGGATATTCAAAGAAAGCGTTTTTCTTCTGTCAACATAGCTCCAACAACCCACGTGGAGTATACAATGGTATTGGATGGATGTTGCTGTATCTGTGCTGTAGCATTCAATTGAGGAGGCACTATAAATGATGCCGTTGGTAGCACGGTCCCACAACAAACAGAACACATTACATATCCAGCACACACGCAGGCATATACACATAGGGAGATATTAGCCAGGTGGCATAGGACTAGTAGTAAGCGTCAAAACAAAATCACTTTGGGCTTACTTCATTTATTCAAGATTACGAATATAACAAGTTATTCGAAATCACTGATGGGGCCGGAAATAAAGAGGTATGTACGATGTGCGGACGGTACCTTTTGGTGCGTTGTGGGATCACACAACTTTAATTATGCATTATATATTATTAGTATATCTGTCAATTATCATTTGTTTGATGAGGGGCTTTCTGTCTAAGCAAAAGCTACAGTCCTAACAATGGCTACTGTCCTAGCATCGGCTACTGTCCTAGTTTCAGCTGTTGTCATATGAAGACATTGTCTACAGTTGATAAGCAAACTCTCCGAAATATCATAACCTTCAATCATATTTATGGACAATAGTTATATATATTTTTTTTTTAAGAACTTAATATCTACATTATAACCTTATTTTGTATTACCGTACCAACGAGTACTCTTGTATAATCCTTTTCCTATGCGACGGTAATGCTTTTGATTTTTATTCAAAAGAATATGCAACTTTGTTCACTGATTCAGTATTTGTGTCAAGTCTTCGTAATCTCTTTTATAGATTTGGCAGAAAACGGATGGCAATTGTTTCGCTATTGGCGGCTGGAATTACCGGCTTTATCGTAGCAGCTCTACAAATATCTGGTAATAATTTCTACTCGTACTAATGAAACCGTTTTCAAGGTCAAACTAATATTCGATGCTTTAAAAAAATAATTAAATTTTACATTTTGTCTCATTTATTTGGAGACAGACTTGAAGCCAGGGCCCGTAATCATGAAACTGTTATCATGCTCAAGCATGGATTCTGTGCTCAAACCTACTTTCTTGTAACTCACTTAAATAATCTTAAACGATCAAAACGTCATATGTGAAAATTGAAAACGTATTTGGCTTTGAGTCTCTTCAATTCTTTTCAAAATCATTGTCAAAATAAGAGTTGTTTATTAATTTATAACTAAAACAAGAAATTAGGCTTGAGCAGAAAATCCATGCTTGAGCATGAGATCGCTTTCATGAATACGGGCCCTGGTATTGTTTTAAAAACATTGTTGTCAAGTTACTTGAAAATTGATTTGGGCTTAAAATGAATCATGAGAATAAAAATGGTTTGAAGTGTGCATCACAAATATCCTATTGTTACTTTATGAAAACAGAAACATATTTGACACATGTATAATTGTTTTAATTACAAAAAAACCCACCGTACATATACAAAGCTTTTCAACACAGAAAAAAATATAATTGTTGCTACATGAAAATAGCATTACATTATGAAAAAGTTAGTATTTGTCATATTTTTAGATTTGGAAATGAAGGACTCCCTGATCAATGGCTTTGCCTTAGCTTCGAAAATGAGTGTTATTGTTGCCTGGGCGACGCTGTTCATGTTGTCGACGGAGTCATACCCTACTGTCGTTAGGTAGGTTAGATTGAAATTAAGGCTTTAAGTTAAAACTTTAAACGTTGATATTTTGCATTTTCAATTTTCTCTGCATTGCCACAATTTCTAAAAATGTGATAAAGATCATTGTCATGCATGAACCAGCATAAGGTCTATTCTGGGGATCGTGAGAGTCATACATTTCTGATGTTATACTTAATATAATGTATCAATAGAAATAAATAGCAGAATTTAAGTAGGGTTTCGTGCCCATGAAAAGATATGGCAGTATTAAGCTTCGAACGATTATCCTTTCAATACTTTTTGTTATTATTATGAATGCAGATGTATATAATTATATAAGCTACTAGGTGCTTAATTATATACACAAATAAAGACTTTCCCTTTAAAACCGGCATGTATAGCAATTGTTTAAAGTACAATTTTACTTAAATATTGCAGGAACATAGGAATTGGAATGCTGAACTCTTTTGCAAGAGTTGGTGGTTTGATAGCACCTCAATTGGTATATGTTGTAGGTCCTAATAGTAACTATATCTTTATAACCATATTTGCGGTTTACAAAAAAACCATACACCCTATAATATGGATTGTTTTAACAAGCTATATATACAGTGATATTCAGTTTTTGTTTAATATTACGTAAAGGATTTCCAATGTAAAATCAATACATATCCCAAGAGAAAAATAAATTCATACATTAAATGTGTTATTTTAACTTACAGAGCAACCATCTTCCAGGAGCCATGTACTTCGTTTTTGGTGGATTGATGGTCCTTTCATCATTTAGTCTGATTTTTATGCAAGAAACAAACAAAAAGCCTATGGAAGATGGCATAGCAACAGAGAAGAAAGGGGGAGAAGAAATGCAGAGTTTACAAATCGAAACAAGCATTTGACATGATTTATTTACGTCTGTTATGTAATGAATGTAATAAAATCGTATAATTTGAGTTGAACATATGTCTGGAATTGTTTCGGTTATATTGAATAGTTATATGTATATCGCGTGTTGAAATGTTTTATTCGTTAATCACACTTTGTTTATTATAATCAAAAACATTGTTCAAACTATCAATGTAATGTATACGGCTAATTATTTAGAAATCAAACCTTTCTATATATACAAATATATTTACATTAATTATTAAATTTGTCGATTTTGAAAATGTGCAAGTATTTTTCTCATTTTGTAACACAGGTTAATGTCGACTTTGTTGTCATTAGACTTTGAAATAATTAAACCTGTCGTCATTATTGTCAACATTTGATTAAACTGAAAACAGTTCACGTAAAAATACTTCTTCTATAATTGTGTAAGGAGGATTTGCACGTGGTCATTACTCTTATGTTTGTGACGTCATGGTTAACATTTCCCATTTCACTTCATAAATAATTAACGTGAAAGATGCCCCATGCTGACATTGCAACTTCAAAATACTTACAAATGTGAAAATGTACAAGTATGGTTAAATGATACTTATGTTAATTTGTTACATGCTTCATAATCAATTATTTCAACACTAGCTACGGGAAGAAGGCCTACCTAACCTTGTCGGTTTGAGCTTTGTAAAACTCATATCGTCGGTACAGCAGACGAAAGAACGTGTCACTCTGGGGAAAATGGTGCAGTTAACTCATTTAAACTGTTTACTAACAAGACAAACATTATCAAACAAAATACAACAAACAGGAGATATTGCACATGTGGTAAAGTTCAGTTTGGTTTATGTATGGGGAGGCAACTCAAACGACAAAGGCTAATTGGGAAATGAGGATTTAGTTTATTTTCCGAAGTTGTCTCTTAAACAGACCTTGATAAGAACAGCTGTTTAATTTGTCACAAGTGAACTTATAAATCAATCGGAGAATTTGTAACAAAACAAAAAAAATCTAAGTATATAGAAATCATACCCTTGGGGTGAAAGAAGAATAATTAGCATTTTAAGCTGTAGATTGTTCTATGAGTGATGAAAGAAAAGAAAAACTATGACAAATATGAGTTGCAGAATACGTAAATCAGCTACATGTAACATCAATGTCAATGAATGCGAAATCAGAGTTAAAATTTAAATGCCATGTGATTGATCAGTGTTGGTGCATGCCCAACGGTTAAAGATAAAGCTTATGACGTGACATCACATCTTAATGGCTTGTTGGTTTCGTGTAAAAACAAGTCTGTTTCAGCTTTCGCATAACAATTATTTTTCTTTGCCACAATTTCCTATTGTCTTTCATGTTTACCTTTATACCTTTATAAATTAAAGATTACAACATAAAAGAAAAGGAAACCGAATCCTCGTGCATCTATTAGGCTGCATCGGTGTATCCCTACATAATTGAATCAAATACCACTTCACATCTAAACTCAAGCCTTAAAAGATGTCTGCAACAAGTGCGTATTTGGAAGGTCTAATTGAGGAATGTGGCGGATTTTCACGATTTCAATGGATTATGTTTTCGTTGATGGTGTATAGTAAAGTCGCCACTACCTGGAATATGCTGATGATGACATTCGCTGGAGCAATTCCTGATTGGCAGTGTGGATTTACAAACTATTCAAACTCCGGCACTTCCAGACCAATCGATTTGAACAAGCTGTATTATACAGAAGGGCAGTGTTATCCTCCACAAAATGTTACCTTTCGGAATTGCCAGGAGTATACATTTTCCGATAGTATGAATACTATTGTGAGTGAGGTAAGATGCCTATATGATCAGCATTTAGATGTATTAATTATCTTCTTTAGTTTAAATAGTTTTACTTATAAGCGAAATGAGGATTGTGTGTAGTGTCAAACAGGAACTTGTCAGCGAGTTCAAAAGGAAGAATTTGATAAAAATAGTGCAAACAATTTGAAAGGGGAATAACAAGAACAACAACATTTTGATCGTTTTTAAAGGTGCATGTTCTGCCACATGTTATGAAGGTAATAAGAACTCATGTCCAAATTTGATTGTTGTTTCATTTTGAAAACCACTTGACTGTACATATATGATTTCCATTTTAGTTTTGTCTTTAATAGTCATTGGTAAGGATTGTATTGAATGAATAGAATCATGTTCAAAAAATGCGTATCACGGATATTTTTTTTAAAAAAGAGAAAATATAGGTATGATTCAGAATTCAAAATGATCATTATTACAAAAACGATATATATTTATTATCATTTTGCAATTTACATGAGAATTTCATTCAAAAGATAATTTCGAATTAATCAAGGTTAATTAATTCATTCAGTGTTAAGAATAGGGCTGCCATGTTACAATGTTCTGAAGCTTTGTATTTGTCTGTGATTGGTTGAAATCAAATTCAATCAAAATTAATGTGCGTGTAGTGTATAATGGGAGGCATTATTTGCAACTTTGGGGACTGTTTTGGGATTTATGTACCCACTTTCCCCATTGTTTTACAACTACAACTTGCTTTCTTTATTTTCTAATTTCAGTGGACATTGATATGCGACAAAGACTGGATAGCCTCTACTATCACCACAATTCAGATAGCCGGAATACTGGCCAGTTGTGTAGCCTCTGGTCACCTCGCAGACCTTATTGGCCGGAAACCGACTTACTTGCTGTCTTTGGCCTTAATGATGGTACTTAACGTTGTCGCTGGATTTTCGACATCATGGAAAATGTTTGCAGTCCTTCGTTTTCTGTTGGGCTTTTGTCTTGGTGCTAGCATCACCGTTTTCTTTAATTACCTGATAGAGTTTATACCTGCAAAAAGAAGATCAGTCACCATAGCCTTTCCAGCATGGTCAATCTGGGCATGCGTGTTCGGATTCGTGGCTTGGTGGCAGCATGATTGGAGGTACCTCCACTTCTCTACAGCTGTACTTACTCTACCGTGTGTATGTATGTGGTGGTAAGTGTTTATACATCAATCCTTTATTTATTTCCTTGCTCTTCATATTAATGGCTTTTTAACAAACATTGAAAAAGATTTATTGTTTCTGTCATGTTTCTTTTTCCTTCTATTATTCTCATTTTTCTGTTTTGATGTTATAGTCCTCAATCTTGTGATTGGTATCAAATGTGTTTATAGTCTTTCACTTAAGTTGTAGATCGTGGTTTAAAGGATAAGTTGCACCATTCTCAAAGTTGTTAAAATCCCAATATAGCCATCATGATGGCATATGTTAAAAAACTTAACCATGACAAGAAAAGTGTTGATTATATATGTGGCATTCATGCCAATATGAAATTTGTAGGTATTGTTCAAGGATTTCTGTTTCTCTTGTTATTTATTATCAAATCAAAATTTCATAATGTTTCTCCATTTTCCATTTTATTTGAAAATATCATTTTGAAAACGAAAGAGAACTCCAAAGCGATGAAACTGACGTCTTCATTTTTCTTTTCTGTATTGCTCAATATAAAAGTAATTCGCCATATGAGCAAAAATACAACAACACGATACAGTATAAAAATATTTTGTCTGAATTCTAATTTTAGACTTGATCTAAAATCCAAGACGTCATATCTTTTAAATGATATCAATATTTTATGCAAATCATATAAAAAATAATTATTTATCTTTACTGTAAACACTCAAAGATGACGATGTTTTCAGTAACATGATAACTGATATGAATCGATAAAACACTTAAGATGTCGAATAACAAATATATTCGTGTTACTACAGTTTCACTACATTCATTTTGTTGATGAATAGGTTTATTCCAGAGAGTTTCCGCTACCTCGTCTCCCATAACCGACTAGATGAAGCAAAAGGAATTATCTGCAAAATAGCGCGAATCAATGGTAAACCGGAACCGGATATGAGTGAGATGAGTTACCTTGTTGAGATAGACTTGAAAGTCGACGCTGATCGGAAATACACGATTTTGGACGTAGCTAAGTCCCCACAGCTAAGGAAGTACACATGTCTGCTAGGCATTGCATGGTATGGCAATAAGGCTACGTCACAATTTTTATTAGTGGTAAAAAAAATCGGTTTAAAGTAACATCTAAGTTGTTGTTAATATCATAATTATAAGTTGAAATTAACTACAGTGAAACCTCGATTTATCGTTATATACAAAAACAAGTATACCGCTATAAATAAAACATCAATATGTTGCCCGCACTTTATTTGTTACCTCTTTTATAGGTATCAACTTTATGTATAAAATTGAACTGATTAACCTAGTTGTTATAATGATGTAACAAAAGCTTCAGAATTCCTTAAATAAGTGTCTGTTTTGCATGAGATGATAAATACAGTTGTTCTTAATCATATATATTATTTAATTGATTTAAATATCCAAAGAACCTAATGTTGAATATTTTCTGTGCTACTTAAGGTACTGCTATGGCAAATGCTTGTATTTTTTGTACTCGTCCCGTTAGGATGTCCTGTGGGTATGGCTTCTATGCCATTTCCTTCGGTGTTCAGAGTCTTTCTGGGAGCCTATATCTCAACATGTTTCTGTTGAGTGTAGTAGAAATTCCTGCGCAGGCCTCCTCATTCTACCTCACCAATAGGTACGTTTACCATTCATGTTAACGTTGCATATCAGTCTTTTTACGGTCAAACACGCACACTTACACGAAGTATAAATATAGCAGACTTACATGTTACAAGAAACCAGATTATAAATAACCAGATAAGAAGCACGTTCCTTGTATTTAGTCAACCGTGATAGGATATATGAAATGTGTACACAAAGCGTAACAGAAACAGTAAACATACCTAAAGTCCAGTTGTATTTCTGTAACAGTCTTATTCTAGGGGTCTCTTTGTATAGAACACTCCAACGCTATCTTTGCTTCCAAAGATATTACTGTCATTAAATAATGACACTGCTACATTTCGATAGCTGCTAACGTATCGATCAACTCTAATAAGCAATCACCTCGATACCATTCACTACGTAGTGGTTCTAGTAATGTAAGTACACACCAATTATTGACAGTTTTACAGTCGTACGAATAATGTGTAAGATGTATTACAGAATATATATAGGATATCTTGCATGTGTTTCCATTTCATATGAGATTTATGAAATGTGTCTAAGAATATTTCAATTCAGCGAGCCTCTGGCGATCTAAATTGAAAAAATCGTGACGAGTTTCATAAATTTCATATAAAATGAAAACGAGTGTAAGATCCTTTTTACATTATCCAGATTTCTGGCATTTATTCGTGTAAAATGACAATTTTCATGCAACCTTTAAATATAAAAAGCCGCCATTTTGACTCCAGTGCGTAAGTCTGTGACGTCATGTACTTGTCATAGGCGTGACGTCACAATTGAAACATTTGAAACTTACAACCAATGGCTGATAGGTCATATTACATGGGTTAATAAGCAAAAATATATGGCATGGGTATATTCTGGGGATAGCACAGTACATTATGTGATGAAGTATAATAACATTTGTCGATATGATATTTAGTTCCTCATTGTCCAAGAACCTTTCGGATTTTGTTTCATTTCGAAATATTGATCAACCGATCCTTTCAAACCGCTCATACAAGTGCATGTTATCACAGAACGGGAAAATCGTTTTTTTAATAGTCTCATTTTCGAACGATGTGTCCAAGATGTGTGTTCGATGTGTACACAATTTGCACAAGATAATTTAGGTGTGTTGGGAGATCAAACAACTTAAATTATGCATACTATATTATTAGAGAAGCTGACAATGACAGTTTGTTTGGTCAGGGTTTTCCTGTCCTAGCAGCAGCTGCAGTCATATAAAGTCATTGTCTAAAGATTGGTTTCTGATTGACCTCTTTGAAGTACAAACGTACCTATAAATCATAACATTGACAATATCACGTTTCAAATATCTTTTAATATTGACAGCATAACCTTGTTTAGTTTTACCGTAACTTTTCACAATTTGTTTTCCAATTTTCCAATTCATAAAAATGTTAATCATCAATTCAATATTTGTGCCAAGTTTAAATGATATACCGTTATGTTTCTTTATAGATTTGGCAGAAAATGGGTGACTATTGTTTTGCTATTGGCGGCTGGAATAACCGGTTTTGTTGTGGCAGCTCTACAAATATCTGGTAATAATTTGGTATATATTTTTTTGTAGCCGTACTAATGAAACCGATGGTGGAGAATGGTTTCATATTACAGTAAAAAATTCAAATCAAATATTTTGTTCGGTTGACTTGGAAGGAATGTGATGAGACTTGACGCTTAATATGATTTTTAAAATTTTTAATTTGACACATGTTGGTTTTGGATTAGAATGACTGATGAGAGTGGACTTTTTTTTAAAGTGTACAACACAAATATTCTATTGTTACAATATGAAAGCAGAAATTTATTTGACACATGTTTAATTGTTTTTAATTTTAAAGAAACTCAAAATTAAAAAACTACAATCTGAAAAATATAAATGATGTTACATGAAAAACTCCCATTACATTATGGAAAAGTTATATAATTGGTCATATTTGTCAGATTTGGAAATGAAGAACTCCCTGATCAATGGATTCGCCCTGGCTTCCAAGATGAGTGTGGGTGTTGGATGGGGGACGATGATCATTTTGTCGACGGAGTCATACCCTACTGTAGTTAGGTAGGTTTGATTGAAATTAAGGCTTTAGTTGAACTTCAAAATTGATATTTATTTGCCTTGCATTGCCACAATTTCTATCAGCGTAGTAAATGTAATTGTCATTCATGAAATCACAACATCAGCGTTATTTAACAGCTTGAAGCTCTACCTTGGTAATAGTAAAAGTATTTTATTTCTGATTCAATGCTTAATACAATGTGTCATTAAGATTAATACCATATTTCAGACAGGGGTTATTTTTTAAGAATAATTAAGAAAAACTACATTGTACTAAAGTATTGTGATAGGGATTGCAGTATTCAGCAAAATTTAAAAATAAAAGAGTTAGTTCCTTCTAACGTTTAACCTTTATTTGGTTTTCGTTATCTTTAGGAATGCATTTGCATATTGTAATATAAGCTACTAGGTGCTAAATTATAAACACAACTGAAGTCTCTACCTTTAAAACCGGCATGTATACCAACTGTTTACAGTAAAATTTGACTTAAATGTTGCAGGAATATTGGAATTGGAATGCTGAACTTTTTTGCAAGAGTTGGTGCTTTGATAGCACCTCAATTGGTATACTTGGTAAGTCCCAATGGTAACTATATCAACAAATATGTCCAACGAATTAATATTTATCACCATTTTTGTATTTTATAAAAAAAGCATGCCACCTACAATTTGGCTTGTTATAACAAGCTTTATTTGTAGTCACATATTATTCAGTGTTTATTTAATATTAAGGATTTCCAATGTCAAATCAATACATGTCCCGAATGAAAAATAAATTCACGCAATAAATACGTTGTATGTTATTTTAACTTACAGAGCAACCATCTTCCGGGAGCCATGTACTTTGTTTTTGGTGGATTGATGGTCCTGTCATCATTTTGTCTGTACTTTATTCAAGAAACAAACAAAAAGCCTATCGAAGATGGCATAGCAACAGAGAAGAAAGTGGGAGAAGAAATGCAGAGTTTTCAAATCGAAACAAACTTTTGACATGATTTATTTACGTCTATTATATAATGAATGTAATAAAATCGTATAATTTGAGTTGAACATATGTCTGGAAATGTTTCGGATATATTAAATAGTTATATGTATAGCGCGTGTTGTAATGTTTCATTCGTTAAGCACACTTTGTTTATTATAATCAATCACATTTTTCAAATTGTCGATGTAATTTATACAGATATCTGTTCACGAATTCAACCTTTCTACAAAAGAAAAGGAAACCGAATCCTCGTGCATCTATTAGGCTGCATCGGTGTATTCCTACATAATTGAATCAAAAACCACTTCACATCTAAACTCAAGCCTTAAAAGATGTCTGCAACAAGTGCGTATCTGGAAGGTCTAATTGAGGAATGTGGCGGATTTTCACGATTTCAATGGATTATGTTTTCGTTGATGGTGTATAGTAAAGTCGCCATTACCTGGAATATGCTGATGATGACATTCGCTGGAGCAATTCCTGATTGGCAGTGTGGATTCACAAACTATTGAAACCCCGGCAGTTCCCGACCAATCGATTTGAGCAAGCTGTATTATACAGAAGGGCAGTGTTATCCTCCACAAAATGTTACCTTTCGGAATTGCCAGGAGTATAAATTTTCTGATAGTATGAATACTATTGTGAGTGAGGTAATATGCCTACATTATTTCTTAAAGTCACGGCTGTCAATTTAAACCTCTTACTTACCAGAAAAAATACAGGGATGTAAGACATTGTCTCAACGAAATATAATCCACACATTTGTCCGCATACAAAAACAACAAAATTATAAAAAAAATATGTACGTTTGCATTATTGAGTAGGTAAAGATATTACCAAGCAATTCTCCGTATTTTCATGCATTATGGTTGGGTACATGAATATGCAAATAACAAAAAGATAATACAAACGTGTCATCAAAACTCAATTCAAAATCGGTAAAATTTGAACAAAGGAGAGATTTACATCGAGACCCCTGAAAATTTCAAGAAAAATAAGACCAGGTGTTCCGTTAGAATAAGCACCATCGCGTGAAAGCAATCCTCATGTTTTAATTACTTGTTTATGTAGATAAAAACTAACATCCATTCTAAGGGAAAAAATCTATCACATAAATTATGATGCTAACAGCAAGGAAACATCGTCCAGAGATTATCTTACTATGACGTCACAAGCACGTCACACTCCATCGGCCTTCATCGGTTATGTCTGGAAGGATGAAAAATAACCGAAAAATCTTGGAAAAGATGTCCGTTGCATTTATGTCTTTGTCGGTGCTTCATGACTTTTTTATTTCAGTTTTTGCCGCAGGCAAAATATTAAAAATGCGGATGTTTTCTGAAGATCCTTTTTGTCATCAACCAGGTTCTGTTAATTTTTTTATCTGAACATATCTTCAAAAAGATGTGGATTAAACCAATAGGTCAACGTGTACATTTTTCATCGTCTAAAATTCATCAGCTTTTGGTTTCCTTTTTTTGAGAATATGAACGAAATGATTAACATTTTTGAAAGTCTGGTTATAGTCTTTACATAATTTATGTATGCATCACCACTCATAAAAGAAACAATGGATAACTCATTTATGTCGAAATCAACAATAATTGTTCAGACAACCAACCCGAGTTAAACGCACTTTTTCAGCAACGTATTTTTTTTTCACAACGCGTGCCGATTTATAACTAGTTTAATTTGATTTGGCATCATTACCTGTCAAACCTCGGTGACAGTTACAAAATTGGAAATTCAATCCGGTATGTCAGGATGGAACAGGAACTGAGACTACGTATCGATATAACGACAATCTCAGTAACATAAAGTATTCCAATGTTTCCTTTTTTTCCCTTTTTTTCTTCTTCTAACATCTCTATACATTTATTTAGACTCATCGTCAAATATGTATAACGCACTTTTTTCTATAGCAATTACCTATTATTTTCCTCAATTTATCTCAATCATTCTTTTTGTGCCCTGGCGGAAGCACGCAGATAATTTAATTCCTAATGTGGGAGGAAGATGGAGTGTCGGGAGAAAACCCGCGTGGTCGGAATTGCTTCGTTTTTTTGACGGTCAAACGTGTAACACATTGAAAGCTTCAAATTATATACATAAAAGCCAAGCCAAGCACTCACCATATTGCTGTATGATAAGAGTTTATAGAAATATCAATTTCGGCCCGGACAGGTTCGACCAATGATACCGTGGCAAGTGCGACCCATAAAAATTCGCAAAATTGGCGGTAAAATCTTATTTTGCATGTTTTATGACGTCATAATTAAGCCGATCACAATGGGGGCCGAACTTACCCTAATGCCTGTCCGAACTTATCCATTGGCGGGGCTCGTTCGGCAATCCGATCTTCCAACAGGGACAATTTAATAATGTTCAAAAACGGATGTACTGCCATACTTCCCAGTACGGACTTTACTAAAAATGAACCGAACTTGCCCCTGTTGTGTACACACAGGTATACTGGTCAGGTAGCTCTAATTTATCACCGGAATACTGATACGGAATCCGGCTTTGTTTTTAATTCCGGATCTCCTGTCCGGACACCGGCTTCTTTTGTCAATTTTATTAGTTGCGAGGTTGTTGTTTCCGGTGAATAAAGTGGAGGGAAACACATGTTCTTGTCAGCGTAATCTTTGTATTATAAACGTACGGATCAACGCCTCATTATCACTGCAGGCGAGTTCCTCCCCAACATGGTGGAGAATCCTCAGCTGTATTTGGTATGATTATCCTGCATATAATTGATATTTTATGAACGACTCTCCCGAACTTTCTAACACGAGTGAACATGAGTGCCAAAATTGCCCACCACGTGTAATATGGGAATCTACGCATACTATATATAATTGTTATATCTTAACTCATGGATGACTTTTTGAGTGATAGTTTCCAGTTCAAAGATATACCAGAAAAGGAGGATGTATGTGACATCGATACGGAAACAAACAACTGTTATTCAGGTATATTGACTGACGATTTTTTGAGTGAGAACGCTTTACAAGAAACTGATTGTGGTTTTGACCTTCCTTCACCTTCACGTTACAAAGGAATACAAACATATGCTTTTGAACAACAACAGTGTTTACCTACTTCGAATCATTTTGTGAAACATTCCACTGACAATATCATACTCGGAATGGATATTTCGAAATGTCGTAAGTTTTCTGGCTTGTCGCATGAAAACGCGGGAAATTTCCTCACGGAATTCCAGTCATTTGTTAGTTTGTATTCTTTAGACAATCCTAAAGATGACAAGAGAGTGCCTCTGTTCTGCCTTCTCCTGCAGGGTCCAGCACGGACCTGGTTTACAACCAATGACTTGAATATAAAAACGTGGTCAGTGGTACAACATTGTTTTGAAGAAAAGTATTTAGATTTTTCTGCATCCAGCCCATCTCTGCTATTGGAGACGAATAACTTCCTGGCTGTGAAGCTGAGTCCCCACGGAGACCGGCTTCTTTTGTCAATTTTATTAGTTGCGAGGTTGTTGTTTCCGGTGAATAAAGTGGAGGGAAACACATGTTCTTGTCAGCGTACTCTTTGTATTATAAACGTACGGATCAACGCCTCATTATCACTGCAGGCGAGTTCCCCAAACTCAGAACGTTGACCCAACACCCCGATCTCCCCAATATTTATGTTTTATTGTTATTCCTCGACTAGTCGACTTTAAATAAAGTTTATCTGATCTCATTCTGAAAGCAGTATTCCAAATCAGTAGATATCAGAGATCAACAAAAGCTACGCTCTTTAAGGCCTCGTTTTTTCATATTATATCTGCCCATATAAATAATCTCTCAAATATCAAGTTGCTCAACAATCTGACTATGAATGTCATTATCTTAACGCCTTTCAATGTACACATTTTTCGTCGATATGCCTGCTAATTTTGATTGAGTTGGAAACAGCTAATACCAGTATCTACAGTTCACGAAAGTCACACTTGATCGTAAGATAAAGACCTGGATCCAGTGTATAACCTACTGCACTATGCGTGTATGACCTATTATGACTTTATATTGATTCAAGTACATTTAAGTAATATCTATGTAACCCTGGTAAATACTAGCCGCAATATATCGCTCGGCTATAGAGAACTTCTCTTTAGCTCGATCGGTTGAGCGCGTTAGACTAGTAAGCCAGAGGTCCCGGGTTCGATCCCATGCGGAGGTAGTGATTGGCGCCCAACGTGGGGCAGAGGCGCTTGATTAATCCATCAACCTGACCTGCGATTGCTGTATCAGACTTGCAGTGCATGGAAAAACCCAGTTTTGCCAGTATAAACCTAATTCTGTCAGCTCACCATGTTTCGCAGCTTATGAACGTTAATGTCCTGTGTTGTAAACAGTAAAAGAACAGCCATTCTGTTAGCACTGTGTCATATTTACATTGTAATATGCTGAAGCATCACATAGGTGTTGTTAACTGAACTGTACTGAATGTGCGAAGATTGTGTACTGTAACAGTTAGTGGGGCAGGATCATGCAAGACAATGTTCCAGCACACAGTTATTTTCATTTATTACTTACTGTGTTGTTGCAATTTCACCGACTATATTGCTATAACAAATTATAACATTATACAGCGTACCAGAGGTTACTCCGTTTGTGTGCTGTCCTAGAACTCATTCATTCTCGAGACCGTAGCTGTACATGTATGTTTACATGTTATCCAACCAAGTACACGGGTACCGGAAGCTGACGTTTGACCCGTACTACCGGAAGTGAACTGTCAAACTGAAAGTAGCACAATAGTGTGATTGTGTATGGATATATTGTTGCTACCATCGTGACATTTTTCAATATTATTTCGCCGCTGAAGACCAGGATTTCTGATTGACATTGAATCATTAGAAGGTGAACTTTAAAATCATATTTGAAAAGTGTTATTTACGATTTGTGATTTGACCTTATATCGAATTATAATTGAAATTTTGTTGGTAACATAATTTGGCATCGCCCTGTTTTGGAGGGTTTGTAATACAATTTGTAGTACGTATATATTACTGAGGGAAGATAGGGTCTGCCTTTGGCGTCCCCGAGTGTGCATTATTTTAGTTTTTTTATTCCGTACTCATTTCCATCCAACACCTATGAC